GGAAAGAACCTGATCGCGAAATGGCGAGTCACGAATGAGGCAAGATTCGCCTAGGAACATCTGATGTGGGAAACTAGAGAACAAGCCGAACATGACAAAAAGAAACTGCAGCCTCAATGTCAATGTGAAACAGAAGCGAAAGGAACAGGATAGAAAATGACCGCATCATAGGTGAAGAAACTGAATTGATGAAAGAGTGCTAAGGAAAACGACGTTGACAGTGGTCTCTAAAACTCACTGAAGAATCAGATAGAAAAATGTGCTCTCTGACTCTAAACATTTGAAAAGGAAAGCACCATGATATCATTGCTAGTTCTACTCGAGAAAAATTGTCAAAAAGCAAGAGGTAAACGTTTATCCGCTACTGTGCGAAAAGCGGTAATATTTACTCGCTACAGTCTTTCGGTTAGCCGGTGTAGCCTGTGATGACCGTCGAAGCAGGCAACAGTGGTGACCCTCCTGCATTCTTGAACATGAACGACGAGTGGCAGTCATCTATCTCCCTCATCATGCTATGCGAGCTTGAGGAGTGTAACTATGCAGTCCTCTCTGTCCTAATCCCTCAGACGTATTCGCAGTAGCAAGAATTCGAGCAGAACTTTGAAATAGATTTCATCTGTACATCGAATCCTGTGATAATACCTATGAAGTATCAGTTTAGTAGGGTGCTACGAATTGTAGTGCTAAGTACGTTCCTGTTTAGGCGGAAGCTGTGTGACGATATTTGGCGGATTTCAATGTGTATGCCCTGTCGGATATGCTGGGTTTCGTTGCGAGAAGAACGTCGACGACTGTTCTGAACACTCTTGCCTGAATGGTGGTACATGCGAAGACGAGGTGAACAGTTTCCGTTGCCACTGTCTGCCCGGCTACATGGGTACGTTGTGTCAGATCAACGTGAACGACTGCCTGACACTGCCGTGTGCCAACGGCGGGACGTGCTTCGATATGGTCAACGATTTCCGGTGCATGTGTCGGCCGGGATTCAAGGGCAAGGACTGCTCGATCGACATCAACGAATGCGAGTCCAGCCCGTGTCGCAACGGTGGCTCATGTGAAGACCTGATGGATGATTACCTGTGCCATTGTCCGCCTTGCTACACCGGCAAGCAGTGCACGATTCGTACAGACGACTGCCTGTGGGAAGCGACCTTCCGGCCGTACGTCTTCACCTACAACGTGACCATGTCGCCGTTGCACGACGGCGTTGTCGGCGGCAAGAGCTCGAAGCAGGAGGGCGACCGGGTGCTGCTCTCTTCCTCTGACATTCCGCTGTTGGTTGGCATGCCGTTGGTCGGCGTGTTCCTGTTGTTCGTGCTGATTCTGCTATTGGTCCTGTTTTACCTTTACCGTAGGACGAGGAGCCATGTGGCCGCGCAGCAGCGCATGTACGTCAACGACGTGGACGTGTACAAACGGGAGAATGAGTGGAACGAGCGTCGATGCCACGAGTTCATGCCTAACTTTGACTGCGGGGCCGAAGGTCGACTCGGTTCAATGAAGAAGAATAGCGCGAGACGCTGCGCCACGATTAAGGCGAAGAATCTGACCGAGTCCCAGTTGCCGACGATGATCTCCGCCGAGGAAACGGAGGCCTACCCTCCTCCCCCACCTTACAG